TATGTTTTTTTTTAAAGAAGCATTGTGGTGTTGGGCAATTGTTGCATTATGTTTTCTCAAGCACACTTGTGGAAGCATTAATCCTCTCTCCCTTTACACACATGCAGAGTTTGCATTTTTGTGCCTCATCAGCATCATTCCCACTATGATTACAATTAATTTTTTTTCACAATTCTAAATTTGGAAAATCATAATACTGGCCAGGAAAATGTCTTATCTTGCAAATATATGATGGAAGTTGAGAGAGGAGTGGATGTAAAAAAATGCAGCCTTTAACAAACTAGCATCTGGAATTGGTGTTTTTTAAATGAACCCAGACGCCATTTCGTGGCAGTTTTAGTGACATTGAGAGTTCAAAATGTATGTAGAAATTGCATTGACCTTTTTCAGATTATTTCTCAATGTGATATATTGGCTTAAAGTGCTTGACCTGGAAGTAGAGTGAACAGTTAGTTAAAGGGTTAAATGCCCTTTAGCTCATCGCAAGAAATTTTCCCAGAGTGTGAATAGCATCGAGTGATATCACACATTTCTTGATCATGTTCGATGAGTTCCGTTCATTCGCACTGATGAGTCACTTTCCTTAAACACACCAGGAAACTTTCTGAATAAATGATTAAATAATATTTAATCAGAAATGGAAAGTTTTGACGTCTGGGGTCATAAACTTTCGTTACAACTTGTATAGGGTGGGTCATATGTCTTGATACCCCCAACTATTATACCGAGGAAGATAGTGTGTTTTTCTGTCACTGTAGTGACTTCTCAACTATCCACATCTCCACTGTGCAGTGTTCAGACGCATTTTGCGTCGGATAATCCTGGGCAGTGAAACTGAAGGCTGTCATTCTGACATAATGGACATTTAAATATGTTCTATTATGTTTCTAATATTATAAGAATATTAGAAATAATATTGTGATTCGTAATTCATTAGTCATGATTACAAACATGTACTTCCAACATGTGCATATAGTTATTTCAAAACACGGCATAATTTATGTATTAGCCAGGGAGTAATAAGACATATGGCCTGTAGATAATGCAGGAGATGCGGTTGGCAGCGGTAATCTGGGTTTCGAGCATGATTTCATTGTTTGCTCTCCGGAAGCTTCGAACATTTCTGGAAACAAGGATGATGAGGATAGAAGAGAGTGCTACTCTGGAGTCTCAATGCATTCCATATAAAAACGCCATTGATACTTGATTCGATAAGTGCCTGAGGCGCAAAAACGGAACCGTTTACAGATATCTATCGACCTTCGCAACATCGTTTAGATGGCATTGACAGATGTCATCGTAGGAGGGGCTGAGGGGACGCAAAATGCTATACCATTGCTTCTTCCTCGAATTGGCTTCATTGTTGAGGATCTGAGGGTCATATTTGCGAAGTTTGCATAGTGGTATCCCACTCGATGATGGTTTGAGTCGAGGTCGCTTCAGTCTACTGCAGGAGTAGCAGCCTACGACGAATCAAGATTTGAATTCTTGCTCGTTTCTTTGATGAGGCAAGTGCTCATGATGCTTGAGGCCTGTGGGGTCAATGCGTGCGCGCTCCAAGTGCCAATGGCCTTTCGTAATCATTGCAGCGTTGAGCCGCTCAGCCGCAGTACAATGTAGAAGAGAAGAGTAGAGTGGAGAGGTAGAGCTAGAGCTGGAGCTCGAGCATTGATGCCGTTGGCAGAATAACGCCGTTGGGGCCTGGAAGGGGAGAGGCCTGCTCACTGCGGAGCCGCTGTCAGAAATGAGCGGGAATGTGAAGTAGAGTCGCTGTCGGACCTTGTGGCACTCCTTTGTCCGAGATGGGTTCTATCCCGCATGCGCCCTAGCTCTGCCTTGGCTTAGCTCGTAGAAGGTTGTGCAGCTTTCGCGAGCAAGCCTGAGGGATTAGGATCGGCATCTCCGCCGATGTGAAAGTAGTGTGGAGTACTTCTTTGATAGTACTTTTGCTGCTCCCCTTTTATCCCTGTCAGAAGGGGAACCTCCCCCCGTCCTTAAATATCTCTTAACATGGTGTTAGAAGTGTGGGTAGAGGTGTGGTGCACGCGTTTCTGTGTGATTACTACACTACACTAGGCCTCCCGCCTCCTTTGTGCGACCGTGTGTCCCCGCCTTTTCCTTTGCAACTCTTGTCTTGACCTCATTCAATCGTCTCCATGGATACGGTCTTTGAATTTGGTTTATCATTCCGTGGGTCATTTCGGTCTCGGTTGTTGCGCTATCCTACCCTCATCAGTGAGGTTTATCAGCTGTTTCCGTTCTTCCACCCTGACCTTGATGCATACCTGTTCGCGTGCACACAACAGTGCAAACATTACATTGAGGAAATGAAGTGTTTTAATCGGTCGTGTTTTTGAACACAGCATTTCGTCAGATATTGAGTTTGTTGCACAAGGAAAAGTAGGCCGTCTGTATTGATGTACGAAATATAATGTACAATAGGGAATGTTAAGTGCTCGCCGGGATCGATAGTAGAGTTGGTCATTGAAATATAGTTTTTGCTTATTCACGTGGTATGCGTGACTCAGTGATGACGTAGAGGAGGCCTTAACTGTTTTGCAGCGACCTTGAGTCTCTTGTTTTAGGCTTATCAGTAGCAATACGCTTTTCAGTAGCAATGAGTGGTTTTCAGACTTAGTTCAGTCTTTAGAGTCAAATACCAATGCAACGTTGCACTTAGCAGAATTTTTATTTTAGTTAAAGACATGAACAGTCTTCCATAATGATCTCATGCCATAGGTGGATTCCATGAGTCAGCTGATACTCTCATAGAGACCTAGGTAAACGTGCAGCATGGTAACGCCCATAAATATTTCAGATCATTGGAAATTGTGTTTGAGCATTCCTAATGGCAGCTGAAAATAGTCTAATGTGAAAGCTCATATTTCTGAAATTCTTTGAAAAACCCATAGTATAGAAATCAAGCTTAGGTAATTTGATTCATTGTGGACCTTGAGATCTGGTCTCTGTTAGTTCTCAAACAAATCACTGCAATGATCATCAGGTTGTGTTCATGTTCCAATAAAGTTCTTCATCCATTTGCTGGGTGCCCTTGAAATGCTAATTATTACTAATGCATGGTGTGTTTTCCATGTATTGGGTGTTGGTAATCAATCTTTGACCTTGTGCAAATTCAAAAATGTCAGTTCACCCTCTGGACAACTCATTTGGTATGAAGACTCAAATGTTGCACTTGAAAGTTTCTTTTTGTGGGAGGGTGAAGCTGTTAGAATGTGGTAGAGGTTTGAGTAAATTATAAGAGAAATGGTGCTGAACTGTCAGTGATATGGATTGATGTCATTGATAGTGTTAATGACAGTGTTAATGAATTAGATTTGAGATTCTGTCATGCATCAAGGTATCAGTAGTGGAAGCCTACTACCATTTCTTGTATCTGTCATTTTCATTGCATCCATAGGAGTCTGCAGGAATTGGGATTGAATTGAGCAGGGCTGCTAAATTGAAATGGGTTTCATGGAGTGGTGTATTTTACAGGGGGACAGGGGGGGCAGCCACCCCCCCTGGTGCCCATATGACAGAGCCTGGCACCCCCTCGGAATAAATCATTTTCTCACCTGATATCACCCAGGTGGGGTTTGGCACCCCCGCTCTGTTGCCTTGCCCCCACTGACCCTTCAGCCAAAATATGCCACTGGTTTCATGCATGTATACTCATGTTCCAGCATTTAGGAAAGAGATGAAGCTTCATAGCAGGCCCTAATGAAATTGTATTCAGAGTTTTCCAAGGGATATGTATAAATTTCCACCTGCTTCATGAGGATCCTTCACCCTTTCCTGAATCACATGCTTAGATCTCATTGGTACCATTTGAACTTAGGCCCTGTAGTCTTTTGATGGGCCAAACCCAAGAGGGCCCAAACTTTCTGGCTGACTTCTTTCATGTACAAACCTATTCTCAATCTCAAACACTGGAAGTCATTTTCTGAAGTTTCCAAATATCTCAATAGCAGTAGTGGATCTCTAGTTCTACACATACCAATCTATTTCTTGAGTGCAAATAATGTCAGCGATACTGAAAACCAAGAATTGCATCACACCATAAAGGCCTTAAATATTGTCATTTTTGACATTCCAGGTCTCCAAATCCAATGTTGGGTGTATTGGGTGGATCTTAGGATCTTAACATTTTCTCATATTTTGCTTACTGTTGGGAGCAAGGAAATGAGGAGTTAGATTTTTCTTTGTGATAGTTAGGGATTTGAGTTTTCTTTGAAGAAACCATTTTGTACCACTTAGTTCTCAGAAAGTAAATGTTAAAGGAGGGAAGAATGTGTAATTTCATTAAAAATATACCAAAAGTAAAACCAGACTCCCCCAATGGAAATTGCCTCTGCATGATGTTGTGATGAACATTCATCAGGTGGAGAAACAGTTGACTGTTCTAGTCTCCTGACTAGAACCTGCTTCTCTGAGCCCCTTTTCTTTCTCTTTCTTCAAGGTCTTTATTCATTTGCTTAATAAACATCCAAAAATATACTCTTTCAACTCCTATGTTAAGCCCACATCATGATGCAGTGCTCACGGTGTTTGATTATCTAGTTAATCTTCTATGTTTTGCCTTTCAAATAATGCCTTCTCAATATCTTCCATTACCCTGCAAGATCCTTATTGGATTCACAAGCTGAATGTGACAATATACTATTTAACTATAAAGGGTTAATCTCATGCCCTAAGCTTATCCCCAATCCCATACATCCTTAGCTTGATGTTCTATTCAAGATCATACACAATATGGGACGTTTTGCCTTTTTGTAAGTATTAGCTGATGCATAGTTGTGTTATTGACTGATCATTTGGAGTATCACTTTCTTATGTGGAGCAAATAGCCAATGTGATCACCTAATAAAAATGGGAAATGCATGTAATGTTCTTTACTTAATGAGTAAAATGAAAGTCGTCTGTCTGAGACATAAGTTTATTGTTGCTTCATCTAAGGTGTCTCATTTCTTTCTTTTCCTATTTTACTGTGTACTCACTTCATGGTGGGACACATTGGTCCATCTTTGATGATATATGCAGCTGTTGACAGATGTGTTGCATGGTGTGTTTTCAGGTCAGCATTGAGACTCTCACATGCATTGTAAAGGCATGCTATCAAGCACATCAAGCCCAGAAACTCCTGGACTTCTGTGAGATGAAGGGTAGACAGCCAGACAAGTATGTGATACAAGATGGACAAAATGGTGGGGGGACAGAGAATCTTGTCATTTTCGACAAGGAGTCTGGTACACCATTGGCCAAGATCAAAACCATTAACTATGCAAGTATCTCTTCCCCCGCTGCATGACAGTCTTCCCTGATGCTTTCAACCATCAACAGCCGACTCAGTACGTTCCTTGGTTCAAAATTGATGTTATTTACACAGCTGTACGACCAGAGACCGTGGAGTCGTCCAAAGCTTCTCGTTCCTCGATGTGAGGAGAATTTGAGCCCTCTGCCAGCCGTGTACATATGTGAATCCTGTCCTGAAAAGTTCTCAAGTGAATCAGACCTCTGGAAGCACTGGCATCTGAAGCATGCTGCCAAGGACTCAAAGTCAACTCATGAGTCTCTGCAGGCAGTCAGACTTGAGGAAGTCGAAGATGATGACCTAATTGATGTAGTATGTCTGTCTGTGATATCTTGAAACCTACATCCTTTCTTGTGTTAATAGTTCTTTTTTTTTGTCTTTTTAAACAGGATGCATACATGAAGAAATTGGACATGGTAAAGGTGACAGGAATAGAGAATAAGTATCGATACTGTCAGGAAAAAGAGGGTTCCAAGGACTGCACTGGGAGGGTTCCACTTGGATGGAATACTCATTTGAGTGTGACTGACCAATTCAAAATAAAGTTTGATGGTTTGGAATTGCAAAGGGAACCCAAAAACCAGTATGTTGACAAAGGCGAATCCAGGCCTTATCAACTCCTCCAAAACAAGATGTGGCCAGTTCAGCGGTGTCTCAGGATGCGATCAAACCGAAGATCAGACTACTGTCATATTTATTGTTTCACTCGGGAGGAGAAGAAGGAACGACGTAGAACAATCGAGACTGGTGAGTGGCTGGTTGTCATGCCCATAGATGTCAATTATGGAAGTCATTTATATGTAAACTTTTGAAATGTGTGGTAATTTACTTTCTAACATTTAGGGTTGAACAAGGAGTCAAGACATTTGAAGAATCTGATGAAGCCCTGCAGTGTGCGTTTGCATAGGCTGAACATCAAGCCTTCCACCATGCCATTCATTGTTGGGAACTGTCTTGAAGAGAACAAGAAGTTAGTGATCAGTCTACCAAAGATGACTGCCACAAACATTGTCCATGTGGTCAACCACAAGAGAGTGTACCCATGGGGTATGCACTTGTGCATGCCTCCTGTGCCCCAGTCTCCACGCAAGGAGCAGGTGTGCCTGACCAGACGCACGGATGAAGTTGTTGCCTCCTTGTGTGGGTTACCATCTAGTCACTTCAATGGATCCCAGCAGGATGCTTTGCATGTCTCTAAGGTGAAGTGCAATGGCCTTGTCAATGGTAGGCCTATGACCAATGGTTCTACAACCCAAAATTGCAAGAAGAGGAAGGACTTGCCGAAGAAACCCATGCCAGCTTCTATGAAGGTGAAAAGCGTGAATCTGCTCCTGCCGGCAGGTGCAAAGAAGAAGAAGCTGTTGGAAATGGGTGTTCCTGAGTCCAGTTCTTACTTTGCCTTTCAGCCAAGTGAGGCTTGGCTGAAGAGGCAAAAGAAATTGGAAGCACTGCGCTTTCGACGTGATGCCCAAAAGGCTGAAGCTGAAAAACCACCCTCAGGAGAAGTGATGAAGCTCCTTAGGGATGAGTGCAAGGAGCTTGGAGGTAAGCAGGGTATCACCACCCTCCACAAGCTCAATTTGGGAGCATCACATGTAACCCGAAGTGTCTTGAAGACCAAGCATCCAAATGGAGTAATTCGAAGGGAGGTCAGGTCCTTGAACCGCGATGAGAACAAGGAGTTGACACAACGGGGGCTAATGGAACTGATGCAGTACAACGCATCTCACACGGGACGGATTACCCGCAATGTGACAAGAAAGCCGAATAGGCACTAGTGTGCCGGACACACACACTGCTGTGATGATTGTAGAGAGAATTTTCTAAATTTTTTTTACTGGAGTTGAAGTTGAGTGAAGAGATGGAATGTCAAGGTCTGATCCCATGCTAAATCTTCCCTAATGGGTTTAGATTTTTGGTCTCAGTATGTATTTTCTCAAAGTTCTTCTTCTGTTGACTTTGCATATGCATGATCTGTATGTATTATGCTCTTTATTGATGTCCACATGAACAGGACTGCCAGTTCGATTAAATTAATTGATTATTTGTATAAAGTTTTAATTTAAATAAAAAGTAGGTCATAATTAAATATAAATAACTCAGGAGACCCTCCCCTGCAAAAAGAATTGATGTGAAGATCGGGTGGGATTGAATGAAATGACCCTGTCTTTAATGCTATCATCCCTTATCCCCATACTCTCCATATCATTCCTCCCCATTAGGAATGACAACATCATTGTCATCTGGTTTATGGCAGTGTGCCATATGATAATTTCCCTGCATTACTTTGAGCTTTTCGTCATGGGTGAATTGAATTTTATTGATCATTCAGTCCATGATTTAAATGGATTGAAATTCCTGTTCTATTAACAACCCTAAGTCAGTTGAGTGGGAAGAAGGTAAGCCATGGTATTGCTTCCAATTGAATTAGAGGAGTTCCAGAGCTTTTATGTGAATTGAAATTACTTTTTCTTGGGAGTTGTATTTCAAAAGTCATTTTTTAATTCTATGGAATCAAGCCTTGACACCACCATGAAAGGGAATAATGGCAACCTGTATCAAGATTTGCTGGAGGCTGGAAGCAACCCCTCCATTTCCAATGCAATTCCCCCACTTTGCCATGCCCTAGTTAGGTCACGGTAGATTGTTTTTTGTTCTACGAAAGTGACTGACCTGAAACGCTTTCATAATCAGTTTCTTTTCTTTAAAATCGAAATCATTATCATGTCTTCCTTGAGAAATAGAGCTGGAAGGGAAAGATTTGCTTCCCGGCAAGGTGCAATAAGTGGGATTTAATGTTTTCGTCATGTGTACAGACTGATTTCACCCTGGATGGGATGGGCCTTTGCTGGAAGCCATCCTAGATGTGATGCGATGCTTTTTTTTTTCCTACGCCTGAGACATTTCTATAACTTATTTTCTTAATTTAGTATAATATTGATGTGAGTGGAAAACCTGCATTTGAGGCTCTACCATAGATTCAACAGTGATTTTTCAACCTTGTGTGCTCCTTGTTTGTATGTTTGTGTCCAGAAATTTTCAAGTCTCGATCGTCGTAGACAAATAAATGAAGTCTATTTTGCTTCCTTCTGATGGTTACATTCATTGAAGACCCAATGGACCACAGATTAACAGACATAGGTGTGTTCTTAGACTGATTTTGACCACACAATCCATCATTCATAAACTCTGAACATTTAAACAAGGGAATCAACCGGGGTTTTGGCGCAATGGAGTACTGCATCTTGCACAGTTGGGAAAAAATGGGCTAGGGGTACGACGCCAAAGAATTCCGTCCGTCTGAACATCTCCATCTGTGGCTCTGAAAATAGAAGTTTCTTCTGAGTTAAGCAGATTGACATAAGTTGAGTGAGCAAGCAGAAGCAGGCATAACTACCAGTAGTTAATGTTTACTGGACAAGAAAGCAAATTATTATGAGTGAACTAAGTAAATAAAATCACGAAATTTCAGTGTTGGTACAAGTAAGATAACGCAACATTAAAATGTGACGTATGAATACCATTAGTAAATGGTATTACTCTTGGAATTAAACATTTCAGCTTTGTCTACCATGTGAAGTGTTAACTAGTACGCCGAGTAATTCCACTCTGTTACATTCCCTTAGTATGTTGGACCAACATAGGCCCACAATGGACTAATATTTTCAATTTAGTCCAATGTCGGGTTTATATTAGTTCAACATGTGTTCGTAGAGATATCTCTACGAACACATGTTGAATTCAACATCAAGCATATGTCGACATCTGCTTGATAGTTGGTATGAAGTAGGATGTAACTCTTTTGGATGTATATATGGATTAATCTTTTTTTTTTAAGTGGCCGAAACTATAAGAAATTGAGTGGTGAAATTCGGCATAGTAGTCGCTCTGGTACGGTAACCTGACGAATGAAAGTTTCGTTCAAAATGCCAAAATTTTAGCCAAAATCATGGGTGAAATCGATTTTTTTTTTCCCTTTGACGGCATTTGTTGTTACGAAAATTCTACAAAGCTATGGGAAATTGTGCGATGGAAGTGTTAATGGAGTTCTAGGATCAGATATGAACAAAGCGGTTTGTTGACCATCTTCAAAAGTGCAGTAACAACAATTTTTGGCGAGAATCAAAAGGCATCAAAAGACCCTGATGATTTTAGCGGCTGCTTGGTACTTCGCAAGTGCCACTCAGTTACCCCTCTCTTTTTTTTAAATAAGATACTCTGCTTCCTAGCCCCCTCCCTTCAGAAATACAGCAGAAACGGTGGGCCAAAAAAAAAAAAAACTTGGGAGATCTTTCAAACCTCACAACCCTATATGGAGTGTTAGCTAAAATTTCAATGGCATCTCCCTGTAAAACATTTCTTTAGTTTTTCATTGGTGTCAACAGATTTGAGTCCTGTGCCATAGATTTCCTGGATTTACATGAAATTTATCTGAGGTACCGCTTGAAAAGAAGGTGTTGAACTGAGTTGGCTCGATACCTGTAAGAGGTCGCGAAATTTTTTTTAACGGACTGAATCAGAACGGTGTGTGCGTAATACGCCTTATTGAAAAATAAAATTTGACGCATAGAGTATTGTTGCGAGCAACATGCCTATAGTGACAAGTAAGGAGTGTTTGCAGTTAAATGGACTTTCAGGTTCAAGAGTGAAATGCTATAGCTTGATCATAAGCGCTTCCTTCACGCGTTTGGCAAAGAACCGACACGTCATCAGGCCATCTCAGATTTTCTCAAGTTAAGAACTTGGGTCTCCCAGAGTTTTCTGAATTCAAGTTCATAGTGACAGGCATAAACAGGGATTGAATCATGTTTCATTTGCTTCAAAACCTATAAATTAGCAACTCCCCTATCGTACCGGAATACCCAGTATGTTCTGCTGATGTATTATGCAGGGAAAACTACAGCTGTTTCCTTACAGGGTCTCCATGCGTCAGAAACTGATCAAAGTCAAGCAGCTACGAGTTCTCCCTTGAAGACCATCATAAGAGAACGTTCCAGGCGAACAAGAGAGTTTTTGAATAATGTACTGTGGTCAGGCGAATTCAACTTGTCTCTTAATTCTCTCTGGACACGTCTAATGAAAACACGTTGTCTTCTGGGGCAAGACAACAGAAAATCCTATGCCTAGGTCTGAGACCTTGAAACTGGCACTGAGCTGTAGATGGAAGCGGAAGCACGGATGTTTCCTGACCACGTCTTAAAGGGTGATGCAAAGTACACATTCCTAGTGTCGTCTCATTAATTTTCGGTAACAGCATGATGACTACGGCATGGATGGTGAAGTCGTTGAGACCAGTGGAAAGCTGAACAATTTTTGCTATAGAGATGCTATTTCAGTATTAAGTAACTCTTCAGAAACTGCGTTATGAAGTGGAACAGATCTCCGAAGCTTTTATTGCCCACCCTGTACAAAGAGTCATTTCTTTCTGTAATTTTAAAATATATCCGTCAGGCCCAAAAAAGTCCCGAATTTCGGGCGTCTGCAGACACGACACCATGCTAAGCATTGTCTTGAAATTTTCAGTGTGTCATGCCCAATATATGTAGGTGGTTTCAGGAAAATTTCCATGAAAATTCCTTCTATGAACATGAGTAAGAGCTCTTCTCGTACGAGTCGTCAAATGATCTACTGTAGTGTGTCAGAGAGTTTGCCGGCGTGCTGCCTCGGCGGGCGATCCAAGGAAGACACATCCATGGAGTACCCACCAAACATTTATTTCATTGAGGTCAGTCGCGTTTTTTTGCACACTCGCCCTTTTGACATCGCGCGGGAGAAAAATTCTTACTCAAGTAGTTTACAACCAATATCAATGAAATTTTTATTACATTACCAGCAAATATTACACGTAAAATCTTGTAAATTTCCTGTCGATATGGTACTAAGGTTGATATGGTACTCCGTCTGCAGGCGTGTAAATTTCTGGACTTTTTTGGGCCACCCAGTATATTTGGAGAAGTGAACATACCCATGGCTCCAGCGAAGTATGTTCGGACGCCGATGTTGTGATATTCGATGACGAGACGGGTGAGAGTGGAGATGCCTGAGGCATCGACGAAACTCACTCCTGTTAAGTCAAAGATAAGATGCCAAAAAGGAAGACGAGGTTCCTCCTCGTCTATAGCCATTGTAATAGAGGGCTCCGAGCCGCCATTCGTCTCTAATACCAGCTCTCCTCCCATGTTCGTCTTGCCCTGGAGACGGAGGTTTCATCTGTTTCATTGATGTATAGACACTACCTTTAACTGCCCGGTCGACTCCCAGGGGCCTGTTCCACATAAGATTTACAAGTTACTTGCTACAAGTTACAAGCATAATTTTTGCAATTGTAACGGTCATGTTTCTTTACTCAGCCCTTGCAGCAGAGACTCTAGAAGGGCTGAGCAATTAGACATGACCCTTGCTGGTGCGGAAACTATACTTTTAGCTTGTAGATCGTGAAACTTGTGAATATTCTGCGGAACAGGCCCCAGGTCGAACAGCACGAAATCTCATTTCAAAACGAGCGGCAATTGGAAGATGCCTAAACTTAGCCGCATCGACACACACTTTGAGCTCGTCCACAAAAACTGTCCATACATAAAGTAAGGGTTTACAACGCGTAAACACACCAGTTCCAAGTGCTGCTTTGTCACAGGTTGTATTTGCGATACGTACTCTTCTTTCCTCTCACCTTTCACCATTAGCAAGACATTATTCTTTCCAGTAAAAGAATTCTCCAAATTTCAGGCGTGCTCAGCAGGAGCACATTTAACATGTTAACCGCGAAGGGCCTGCCACTTGGCGTGGCATGAATAACCGATGTTGACATTTCGGCGTGTCACATGGCAGTTAGCGTGTTGAATGTCCTAACAACTGAACGTAAACATGTAAAAAGTATAAATGGTAAAAACCTACAAATGTTGCTAAGTACCAGAATCCAAACATCTAAAGAATAACAAATGTTGCTAGTTTGGAGGTTAAGGATTCGAAATCTGCTATCAACAATTTTTATAGCTATTATATTTGAGTACTAGTGAAAGGGTCAAGTTCAAAGTTGTAAGAGAGAGGGAGAGAAGAAATACACTTGCCTTGATCTGAAGTTTACGACGATTCTTTCTCCGTTTTGCTACGTCCTTGTGGTGTTTCACTATACGTTTCTCCCATTTCTGGGGTTCTAGTTGTGTCAACTTGAAGAGCTGTTGCTTGAATGCCTCCCGGTTTCCGAAGTGGATTCCTGCCCCGTAATGGAGGATCTTTATCCCCTCCTCCTCCTTTGCCTGATCATGAACACTTCAGTCAAGTTTGCGGAAATACTAAGTAATCCTTTTTTATTAATAGTATGTTAGTACTGTAAAACCCAAATTTTTAACAAGTTGCTGATATCTAAAGAAAACGTTCAGATAATCGAATACATCATTTTATCCGAACAGACGGTTTGTGGTTTCCGATGGAATTCCCGAAGGGCATGTTTTTGTCACAAGAGTTCAAAAATTGTGAAAAAAAGTTCGAATTGGTGATTCCCAACGCTGTTCTGAATGTTGCAAATAGAATCTCCTTTCAAAAGTTGAGACACTTATGAGTTTAAAATAGGGATTGGCGGTTCTTCATGCAACTATTCAATAGTATGAACCACTATTCCCAGTCGTTACCATGATTGACTTGTTGCTGACGTTAATAGGCCTGATTAAAATTCCCCAGGTGCAATTTCTTACTCAGGGAATATTGCCCAAAATTACTATTAAGGGTTTTCTTCACTTTCGGTAATCCGACAAAATTGTATTGCCCTGCATATTGAGTTTACTGAGGAAACTATCAAACAAACTTTACTTTCACTCTGATTGCGAACTAATGTTGATGTGTATTGATTATTCGAGGAGCTTTGAAATTAAAGAGCTAACGTAATTCTTACGCACCATGTATGCTCCTGTTGCACATCAACTATTGGCAGTAGTTTGATGTATGTAAATGAAAGGTAGTTTCTCAGGAACGACATTTGTCCTGTGTGCGAAAGAAATATTTGGTGACTTCCAAATGAAGAGCTTTTTAAAACACAAGTGGAATCGTTCTTGAATAATTCCAATGAAATTTTACAGTCATAGAAAGGTACCAAGCTTTGATGTGATAATGGGAGTGCAGTTCTGATCGTGAGCTACTTGCGTATGAGACATGTCGTTATTTAGTCTCATCAATGTCAATGTGTGGCCAAAGTATGGATATTTTTCCCTTCTTGGTGAAAAAATGTTCTCCAAACGTTCTTCATATATCCCAAGGTGATTTTTGACATACATGTTGTAGTTGCATAAGACTAAATCCCAGGTGGGGTATTTTTTAAATTACAAATGTGGTCACGGTCAGCACCTCTATTTTCCTAATTAGATGTTGTATGATGTAATAATGCTAACCAGTATGGTATTGTTGGAAAGGGGAGAAACAGATCTTTGAAAAGAGTCATGAATTACCTGTCTAGCTCAAATAGGAGAGAAGCTCTAAAAATAATTAAGCCCAAAGGTGTGGTCAGATCATGAAATAGGCAGTGTATTAGCCCTCATCCGGTTTGTTTCTCTTGGGCGATTTTTGGCGGGCGCTTATGGCCGTGAAAAATAATTGCAAATTATTAGTTACAGCGCATCTCTGAAGAGTATTTCCATCGATGCAAGGTACAATAACAAGAAATGTTTCTCATTGACACCTGGGAATATTGATCAAGATACAAACGGTAGAAAAACAGTTTTCACAGAGGAAATTTGACCGGAAAAAGGACATCAATCGGCTTTTCTTGCCTCTTGATCTGTTCTATAGAAAGAGAGAGACAGGTCTTTTAAGCATAAGCGTACAGCAACATGACATTTAGGAAATGAAAGGCCCTGGGAAAGTGTGATATGTGTACTTGGGTAAGGAAATGCCATACACGTCGAAAGAATCGTCTTAGGCCGAGAGTCATGAACGTATTCAAGGCTTGGGATGGGATGCAAGAGGCATTTATGCCCCTATTAACATCCTCAGTTGAGGTCAAGGCGGGTCAAGGGCTTATTTCACCGAAGAGATTCCCATCATGCCAAGGTCTGAGTCATATCTTGCATATAAAATGAACCCCCTCCCCTCCTTCATCCCTAGCTTGTCTTCACGCAGAGTCGAATCTTTGTATTTCAAACTCTTTCTCAATCATCTCTAAAGCTGCGCGTTGCATCACCATAAAGCATCACCATAGGCCCCATCCATGAATTTACTAGGTCAGAGCATAGAGGCTTCGTGAAGGAAAATCTATGAAGGGAAGATTTTGTTGGAATGTATGGAGGGCAGGATGGAGGTAGCAACCATTCTGGCTCTCTAGCATTCCCCCTAGCTGTTTTTGTGAGGATTGTGTTGCTGAGTGGAGGGAGGAAAGGAGCAGGTGTCTCCATACCTCGATGGCACCGCCCAGTGATTTCCCCTAAGAGACCCATTGTCCCCAGCCTTTTCCTTGGAGAATGAATAGGACCATTCAGTGAAAACCTTGCGAGGTGATGAACTAGTCACGAGCAAAAAAAAACACCATTGTTCCTTTCGCTGCGTCTGGACTCCATAGCAATGTGATTCCGGTCTGCCTCTTGTTTTCCCCGTCGCGTTTTTTAATTCTTACCTAAGGGATTGGCGATATTACAATATAGATTCATTTAAAACCTATATCGCCCGGCCTAACATTCTCCAAGTCTGAGTTTCCGAGATGGCTTCGTAACATATTCCCTGTATCCTGCCCCACATTTCATCATTTTGGTTACCCACGCCGGACGCATTCATGCAAAAGCACCTGAGCTGCGGTTTCCCTCTTCTTTCCCCGGTATGAGTATGAAGTACTCTTACGGAGAAAGGTACAGAACTACTCTAAGTAGCTATTCCCTGGCAGTGATTATTTACTCCTGTAATATGAAAGGGCATCGTGTAAAAACCAGGGCTGTACCGGTGCCCACATTTGGCCGTTGGTCCGATGGCTGATTTTTCCCTCATAACCATCGGCCGGTGTCGGTACCGGTGCCAATTGTGGCCTGTAGAAGAAATCGCCTATAAATTCAAATAAGCCTAATTGGAAGCCAATGTGCTTATTAGTAGGCCTCCTTGAAATGATGGAGATCACTTTTGGTCCTGTCCAGCCTGTCAGTCTCTCTTTGAAGCTGTCAGTGGTCAGCTTGCTACTCATTGCTGCAGTTGAGAGCATTTAGTGTCACATCCCTTGCAAAAGCATAACGTAAATGGAGATGCAAGGATTTCCCTTCTTTACTGCTACTTTCCTCCGCCGGTTCCTATTATACGACAGTAACGTAATCCGATTGATGTGTTTGTCTGGGAGAGGCTGGCAGGAGTGCATTCAGTGAGACAGGAGGGCCGGGACCTAGCCGCCTTCACACCCTCACGTAATATTTTTTCGCTTTGCCCGTCCTTTGGGCACCGGCGCCATAGGTCGATGGCCGATGGTGCCGAAAGTGCAACACCGGCTACCGACACCGGTGTTAGCCAATGTATCGGCTGTACACATTAGTTCAGTATTCCCTGAAATTTCTTTGCAGTACTCAAAAATGGAAAATTTTGGACCAGTATACTCGTATTTCGGTCTATGGCAGTTCGTGGACTATTCCATAATAAGTACTTTCAGTACTTGTTCAGCCTTAGATACTCCAAATGTAGCATAGATACTCTTCTGCTTGGACGAGAAGACAAGTCTAAATACACTTTACTTCTTTTGGTTGATTGGTTCTTTACTAAAAAGTACTTTTCAGTACTGCCATTACTAGAAACTCGGTCTTTGAGAGGATTGGACCGTTACGGATTCATACCTGAAGAACTCAGAGAACCCAAGAGAGGGAGGGGGAAAAGGAGCCATTTTTGGTGTTCACGTGTGACCGCAGGTTTGGGGAGTGGGGGGAAAAACTGCATGGAAACATTCTGCAAAAATTATTACTCTTCGAGTTGAAGAGACTCGCTTCAATTATGCTTCAGCTAATGGGGCAAAATCTTATTTCTTTTTTCTCGTTTTATTTCCTCCGAAACTTGATGAAGCTTCGTTTTCTACTTCCTTTGTGGACAAAAGCATGCCGGAAAGCATGGGAATGAGTTCAAGTTTACTTTAATGTAAGGTAAATATTGGTATAGTAATAATTGCAAGAATATCACGTAAGGTATTGGTTGTATTTTCCTTGATCGCGCCTTGGTGCTCTAAAAACTCATCTCTCCATGAAAGGAAGCGACAAGAAGTGACATAACATTGCTTGTTTCCTATTATAAATGTGAATTCGGAATCCAGTTCTGCGAATGATGAAACACCAAAGGGTTCGAGCGCCTGACGCCTGATTTTCTTCGAAGGGGAGATAGTGAAAGTTAAGTAAAGACCGGGGGAGAGAGAGAGGGAGGGACAACACCAATAATAATAATAAACTTTAAAAATAACTGAGGCTCACGAGGTCAAATCGGCGAACATCGACGTAGATGCCAGTATCAGAAATTTGTCCCAGGATGCAGGCATAGGCTCGTTGGTTCCTCCAGATCAAGGTTAAGAGAGACGAGGCGACGCCGATGGCAAGACCATAATCGATGTCGATCAAGATCACGGATAAGAATGTCATGACCCAGACAAACGCGTCCAACTTGCTTACCCGCCACGCTTTCTTTAGGTCTGCCACCTGGTAGAACATTCCCTTCAGCGAAACCAGGATGATCCCTGCCAATACCGCCTGTTTTTTTTTTCGGGGCAAGGAGAGAAGAAAAGAAAGAAACACTTCATTACTATAATTTCTTTTCCTGCAACTCCATATGAATTTTAGATAAATACTGTATAAATGTAAATAATTGTAAATGTAAGTGGGGAGATGTCAGCAGATATCTGGTTGGCGAGCGGAGTCTCGCAGGGCTTCGTCTTCATCGATTACACCGATTACATCGACCATATGAAGGCCACACGACAAAAATCATTGGTGTTGCCAACGACACGAATATAGGTTTCGCTTTCGCCGGCAAGAGAAAAGGGCGAGAGCCGGGAAGAATTTGAGCTTTTGAAGGCGTGGAGTAAAAAATGGCTCATGAAGTTCAATGAGAGAAAACGTGAAGTTCTTCACGTTCGTCATGAATTGCAATGGATTTATGCATGCGTTTGGCAAGGATGTGTTGGGGAGACGAACGGAGAGAGAGATTTGAGGATCATCTCCGAGCTTGTGCAGGCAACCGACGGCTTAATGTAACATTTCAAGTGTTATTCTTCAGTTGTATGCCGCATTGCCATTAAACATTTGAAGTATTGTGTCCGATTTGAGAGGCACATTAATAAACGAGATCCAACGGCGGTTGAAAGAGTTCAGAATCGGGCTCGCAGTATGATAAATGTGGTACGGAGGCTTTCATACGAGCTTTTTTTGGATGCGTTGGGACTATTTTTCGCTGGAGGGAAGGATAACGCAGGGGAATTTCATCCTGATATTCAAGGTCATATTAGGGTCATAAAGGTATCGATAATGTGGAGTGTGGTATGTTTCTGAAAGCATGATGGTGACAGAAGAATGAGAGGAACCAGTTCTAGTGGCAAATATTTGAATATTGCAAAGAGTTTAAACAACTCAAGTTAGGAAAAGTTAAAAACTCAGCAGTTGAATGGATTTGGAAAAGGAAGATTCTTGAGGTTGAATTGGAAATCCCTTAAAGCTACAAACATAAATGCGCACTGTTGCAACTCAACACTCTTGTACCTTTGGTAAAGTGGTGAAGAGAGGGGCGAGGAAGAGCAAGATGATGAGAAGGAGAGCACAGGAAACGACATTCGCCACTTGTGTCTTCCCACCGACGTTATGTTGAATTAGACTCCTCGATAACGATGCCGCAAACGGTGGACATCCGAACATCGCTCCAAATGCGTTCCCCACTCCCTGAAGTTAAAAAAAAATCTTATGATCAATCGACCAATCGAGGGTCGGAGCTGCTCATAAGTCCAAGGTTCGATTCGTCTTTGTGAGACAGCATCATGAATTCTGGGCCGCTGTGAGAATATCCCTCTTCAGATTCCTGCACATAAACTCGCCGAGTAAACCACGTTCTATCTTGTAAATTCTTAAAGGTCTTCCCATTGAAGTCTATGAAGGAGGAATGGAATAGATTCTACCGACAACGGAGCCCTCGCTTCCCCCCGCTGACTTCCAATGGAAAATCTCTCTGGGTTCTCATTTCACTCAGTTCTTTCCACCGCTGAGCTTATCAATAAATAACTTCACAAGAAAAATTGTCACAATACAAGCAGGAAAGAGAAGGAAGGAGAGCTCGAGGAATCCCTTTCATTCAAGATTTTCATTGGAAACGTTTAACGTGTATTTCTGAACGTGTAAGAGTCCGTTCCAAGTCACGCCTCTTCATCATGAAACGAGCGAGACCTGTGCGAGAAGATCCTGATTTGGGTCGACGCGGTAGCCGGCTTTGCGGGCCAGGAGCTTCGCCATAGAGATGGATGTGGCATAACCGACGATGGCGATCACGAGGCACTGGATCATGAAGTCCACCTCACCCATCAACCACAGGGGTGGCACCTCTGGACTTGGCAGCCTGTGTCCGTGGATAGGAGAGATCGAGAGGGGTGAAGGATGGGTGATAGATGGGAAGCGGTGTTAGCGCTTCACCGTTGACTGACCCGGTTGGGAGGTAGCCGACAGTAGTGATATTATAGTTGTGGTGCAGATCTACTCCATAAGATGCCGCGGTCCCGATCACCACGCAGATCAATTCAATCGGTACTGGAAATGGGCACTTCTTGGCCAGGCACGGCTGTCGAGGAGAGTTCAAGTATTACATTGCCAAGGCCATTCCGGCTCGGCAAAAAAGTGAATAAGTAGACACAGGAAATGAAGTGACCTTTAATAAATCGTTGTTGAGGGCCAAGGCAAACATGGTAATCCCAGCCACGATCAAAGCTGCCGCGTTCGATCTCATGATCATGGGGAAGAAATCTATGTACGTCTGAAAATGCACGGGGAGACGAAAAAAAGCGATCAATCAAAATTCTCTTCGACTCCGCGACGAAGTGAGATAGAGATGAGTGCAACGTTCAGTGAAGTAAGCTAAAACAACAGGACCGAAAGGACAAACTGCACAGCAAACAATCTTAGATGAAAATCCCGTGATGCCGTTAGGGCCGGGAGTTTTCATCGAGGTGGATAGAGTTTTCACGCGATATGATGTTGGGCATAATAAAAACGAGTCATTTCCCTTTCTGTTCTCATCAACTTTTATGATTCTGTTACACAAACAATACGGGTACTATGATGGAGATCGTTTCGCTTCAAGTATTGCTACTATCCTTTTCTTGAAAACTGTATTATGCCGCTCAGCTCAAATTTATGCTACTTTAATTCATGTTATCTCAAGAGTCAGATATTATTAAAACCTACGAAGCTGAGGTAGTATAGTCTATTAGGTCCAACTTTGAAACGCCGGCATTGCCTGTTTACGTGATCCCCCCCCCCCCCCCCCCGGAGCGTCGCGCCAGTGTCTGGTTATATATAACTATAATAGTTCGTTCATCCGTTACAAGGGTATTTGAGGTTGTGTCTTCCACTTTCGATTTTCACCCCCCACACGCACGAGGAAAAGTCTCACCAGTAAAAAGATGACTTCAATTCCGCACGAAACCCTGCATGAAAGGTGCGTCGATTCCACTCGGGATTTAATCCCGTAACTATCGTTCTGGGTCCAATGGACCCTGGTACAGAATTTCTCCGTTTGTGTAGGGTGCGCGTTGAACTTGAAAAGTCCGATACTCGGTGTATTTTCATGAAGACATGCGATAGTAATAGGGCAAAGAGAACATTGAAGAGAGTATTCGATGATTTAAAGTTGGAGGCGTGGAAATTTTACGAAATAATTATGAATTCTATGCTCGCATTTGAAATTCAATTACCAGGATTGTGGGGCATTCCCATGAGTATTTAATATTTTTCGCTTTCGGAGTTTAAATAGAGCATTTAGGCACGAGGATTCCTAATGTACAGATTTGATAGAACTCGTCTTTTGCTCGTGCTTGTCTAGGATAATCGAGTCATTCTCAGTGATGATCATGGTGGAAAGGAATGTATGAGAGAGAGAGAGAGAGAGAGAGTGAGATAGGAGAGCGAGCAAGAGCAAGAACCTTGACGACTTTGGTGAATCCATAGTGCCTAGGGACGGGAAGACCAAATATGTGTTTGATCTGGGATGTGGCAACGTGGATTGCAGCCCCAGTCGTGAATGCACTCACCAGGGTATCCGATAGAAACACCGTCAAGTTCCCCATCTGCACGATCCCCATCAGGATCTGTGACAAAATCCAACCTCTTCTAAATGAGACTGCTTGGAAAAAAAAAAATCAAGTGGCGTAGGCTGTCGCTATTAAGCCTAGACTTCGTCTACCAGATTGGGAAAATCTATTCTTACAATGCTGAGTGTTGATGTTCGAGGTCTACGGCCCAATCGCGCATACATGAAATGACCTCTCTTTAAGGGTCAGAAAGGTTTCGATTTCATTCAATTGCCCTGTTCAGAGTTTCACAAATAGTAAGTCCGTTGTCCCTACATGTATGGTTAACTTGCGACCTTTGGAACGAAGCTGGATTAGAAAGATTAGAAGTTTATTCTCCACCATCGAGCATATGCACACAGGTAAAAAGAAATCACGGAAATACATATAGAAGTCATGGAGAGTTCTGAGAAAGGTCATTCCTCGATTATTTATGAAGAAAACAAGAAAATCGGCAATTCTGGGAATTGCCAGAAAAGATAGAGAAAAGAGAGGCTTAACAGGTTTTATCACTTTACAACTTCCCAATTACCTAAACTTTTTTCCCAGGTATTGGTGAATCTGAAAAAAAAAACTCTATGAGAATTTAGGCGAGAAAGTGGTTTGGAGAGGATAAACTTTTTTCCGAAGTGATCTTTTCTCGTCTGTTATGTGTGGGAATTAATGTTCTTAGTACGTGGCGAGGATTGTTTTGAGTCGAGGGTTCGGCACGGCAAACTCAGCAAGTAAACTCGGAAGTGACTGTTGAAAAGTTTTACTATCTAACGATCCCGACAGGCCGATTAACTACAAATCACACACACAACACACTTCACAGGAAAAAGAACAGAGAACACTACAAAAAGGAAAAATAAACCTATTGTTAGATCCCTATTCCACTGGGTGAGGGGTCTCAAATCTGAACCTACGTAACAGATTGCCCTACGCATGTCCCCACTTCCTCCACTCACTGCATCAGCTGCTCCGAACATCACACGTCATATGATCCGCATGGGGTTACAAAGGAAGCGCAAGTCGGGGAAAAGTAAGAAAACAGTCGGCGATCAAGCGTGGAATCGTTTGGCTCAATATTGCTGATGAAATTTCTACTCCAGCATCTGCTTCGTCAAAAACAGAATAGGCAGCTTGAATAACGGAAAGTCTTCTGGCATGGACGAAGTCCGGGCAGAGACCCTGAAAGCAGTGGGCATCGACGGGTGCTCGTGGTTCCATAAGGTATATCGATCCGCATGGGAATTGGGGATAGCACCGATGGGTTCAGACCTGCGGTGGTAACTCAGGCAAACTGGTGGATGCAAAAACGAATGGATCCCCAAGATAACCAGTTTCTAGTACAACCGGAAGATATCGTGATAGGGTGGGCATATGAGACATCCCGAACATGATAAAAATTAGCACTTATCGAGGTAGTTTTGGGTTTATGTTGCCAGCAAAGGACGATGATTGCAAAGACTGGTAAATGTAATGAAAAACTCTATCCAATTTTCTTAAAATGTTATTGGCAGCACCAAGCTTATCTAGACTAATTTTTGTTCACTTTGAAAGTTAGTTCTCCCATGTGGAAAGATTAGGTTTCAAGTTATATGGTGCTGGTCCTCTACCACACCTGAGTTTTGACTTTTGAGGAAGTAATATGGATTGAAATTACGAGTCCCATGAGTCATTGCAGTGCTGGGCATAGCCCAGTAACTGAGCATAGCCCAGTCACTGAGCAAATGACAATGCACGATGAACGAGAATTGCGAACTGCATCTGAAGTAGCGGTTCCCTTGCCCTACCTCTGCAAAATTGCAACGTAAATGTTTGACATACCTGAAAGAAGCCGACGGTGAGGCCAACGGCGGCTGCAATCTGGACGGCATGGTGAACGTTCACGTCGTCCATGGCCGACGACGTGGCATTTAGCTTCAAATATTCCGGATCCAACTCGTCCAACTTATGTTGATACAAACCCACCACCTTTCCGGTCATCAGGCACACCACAGCGAAACTTCCTGCAAGCACGGCCCAATACGATCAAAAACAAGAAAGCTTTAAGAAAACACAATTTCAACTTTCTGAAGTAAATCCTGTGAAAAAAAAAGTTCCCGCGAATTTTTCTCTGCAAGGGCCATCGAGAAAATAAAAAAAATTAATTTTCTCGCATGTCGCATTTAGAAATTACAAACCGTGACAGCAGCTGGGAAGTAAATGCCTTTAAAAATTTCAAGATGTGGAAGAAAGCAGTACTCTGTTGCGGATGGCGTCTTTATAATAGAAGTGTCTTGTGCGGTGGGATCAGATTTCTGGGGGAAAAAAAAGTCTGCAAGCCTCATGAAACTTATCGGCAATCCGTTGTTGTGTACGGAAATTACGAATGATCAGAACGACAGGTCTACAGGTCAGATGAACTCTTTAAATAAGACTGTGCACGTGGACAAGGTGAAGCTCGTTCCCGCAGGCTCCCTCCGAGTGGGATTCATCCTACACGCATGCCCGTCCTTTTTTTTGTGTCTTTTGCGAGCATAAATCTCATCACACTGCACTGCGCTTCGATCAGACACTCCTTTCGCAACTCCGCCATTTGCAACAGTGCACTGTGTATGCACCGAATGCAGCAGCGGCTTTTTTCATGCCTTGACACCCACCAAGGCATCTATTAATACTTTTCCTCTGTCTTCACAGTTTACAACGTATCAGTGCTACAGAACGAGAAATAAATTTAAAGAAAGCAGTAAATTGACAATACATTCTTATCTACTTCGTCGATCCTGCTCAAGTTAACCAAGTCCATCTCAAGCATTCTGCGAAAAGGCATTTCAGACCTAAATTGGCACGTTTGCAGGAGCATTTCATGAAGTAGGGTGTGTGAGGGAGAAGGAAACGGCATACCCATCGATGCATGTCGCGAGGTGCCCATGATGACGTAGGTGAGAACGGGGAAGAAGGCCATGTAGATGCCATAGACAGGCGGGATATTCGCCAACATAGCGTATGCCATACCTACCCATCCAACAACGAAATACACATGAATGCAAAATGCATGCAATTGCAGAATGAATTATATTGAACCGTTCAGGGAGACGTCGCCCGCCACGGGGGAGAAGTGACCAGGTGGTTTAGTTCAAAGTTCGTCAAATTCTTGGAAATGTGAAAATTTTCGGTACAGTATATGGTCCTCAAGATGGATGTAATATAAAAGCACTGCATAAAAAAAAACTAATCAGAATCAGAGGATGGAAATTTCACGCAAGGAAAAGACTCGTATTCAATTTACATAATTACCTCTTCTGTATCACAATAGGTTATGGACTTGCTCGCAGGCGCTGGGGGTTCATGATAGGGTGAATTACTGGTACTGTTGGCTAATAAATGCAAATGGAGACGTTTAAAACTTGGGGTCTTAAGTAGAGTTCCGTCCATTAAACTCCGCCTCTGTCAAACGATCACTTTTCTCGTTTACATCTCGTTTTCTCGATTTCTCGTTTACATCGATGATTTTGCTCGAGGTCTCCTGAGTAAAATCAGGGCCGACGACATGAAAGTAAGTTCTTCCATCGCGAGGAAGGACAGGGCGAGGCCACGAGAGGTTGAGCGAGCCGAGTAAGCAACGGCTCGTGATGTTCAATAGGAGTAAATGTACAGATTGATCACGATAACGATGAGTCTGTAAGTGGGTAGTGTAACTGGAGGATAGGCTAGGGGAGGTAACAGGGTAGGGAGATTTAGGGGGTCATCTGAAACGAGAGGCCGAAATTCCCGCACGCCCAGGCGATCTACGGTACAGTCACTTGTAACTAGATATGGGGCTTATCTTACATTCCATTGCCAATAAGAGCTCGCATGTTATTCTTTCCTTGTGTGACATTGGTAAGATCCCATTTCGAGTATAGTGCTCTATTTTGGAGGTCTGGCAATAAACAGGATTTAAATAACACTGGCTACTCATGCTTTAATGGCACACAGTTGAGCAGGTAAAATCATGAAGGAAGATTTTGAGAGGTAAGTGCCCTCGTGCAAGGCGCATTTTCGTGTAAAACGATTGTTTTCTCAACGTCCACATCACTTTCATTGAGGAATGAAATGACATGACTTGTCGAAATGGTTATCCGGAAATATTCTCATTCCATTATTGTCCAGCTTCTCTGACAACCCATATCTTTTTTTCTTTCCGTGCTGAAACAGATAAAAATTGCAGTGGCAGAGTTCGTGAGTTGCCAAAATCGTTTATCTTCCTCCACATGCTTTGGCTTCTCTTCTGGCTCCTCGGCCCAGGTACGATCGATTATAATCTGTTTTTAAAATTTGGATGCTTTATTTATACTCGTCGTTTATTTATACTTTATACTCGTCGGACAGAACGCGAATAAAAATTCCTCGCCCTACCATGCTCAGATACTGAACAAACCAGAGATGACCTTCGATTAAACATCGAAAACATCACTGTTTTTATTGGTTTGGGTACAACGTTCCAAGGTTCGAGTCCCGTTGGATGACGATATCGACCAAAAGTCACAGGACTGTTGGTCGATATCGCCAGTCCCGCGACTGGCCCGTTTCATCCTGCTCACTTCCATTTCTTTTGCGAGGTTCCGTATGCTCTACTTCCCGCGACCTTCCTGCTTGACTCTTGCGGCAGCTTCAGGAATCGATCACTAGCAAATTGAGTATCAATGTCACTCACGGTCGTGCTCTCGTTCCATTTCACCCAAGTTCCATCTCTGTTGAATTTCTTTGCAACCCACTTTTCGAGATAAAGGTTGCGTCTTCATCATTAGCAATTTTCCAATCCATAACCGTAGTTCGATGTCTGAGAAATAAGTATTCACTGTCACATGGGACGCATGCCATAAAAAAATCTATCTGGAAATATATACTTAAATAAAAATATTGCAGTATACTTCGCTTTTTAGCATTTACGAAATCGATCCAAGTTATACATGACAGCTCAAGTACGAGGGGGCAACTACCTGTAGCATGCAACATCCTGCAGATTCCCACAGAAACACAATTGACCCATTGTCAACAAGTCATCATATAGATTGCATTGCTGTGGTAAAGCTGACATAACTGTTCAAGGAAATTTCATAGGCGAGGCTAAAAAAAATTATTGTAAATTGTGGTTCCAAATGGCACCAATGAGCAAGCTTTAAGCATTGGACAAGAAAGGGTGATGATCAGTAAGGATATTGATAACGTAGACCGTTCAAGGTTTTTTAAACTCGATGGTACAACAGAACGAGGGGAAACCAATTCAAGTGGTGTAGGTCTCATATGTAAATCAGATTGCGGAGTGACATTTTCTTTGCTTTTCGGATAGTGCATTGTCGAAACGCTCTACGTAAAGATGTAGTTCCTCCCCCTTATTTGAATAGTTTGAAGACGGTAGATTCCTTCACAGCCAAAACAAAATATGAACATTATCGCCGGAAGTAAATAGATTGACACGCTCCCACCAGTGATATTTATCTCGAAAGGGGTAGGCTTATCTCCACATCCACTCGGGATGTCAACATGAACAGATGCGCCTCTTGACACCGCAACCCAACCTTGATCCTTCAAAAAGTAAAAAAAAAAAAAGAGTTGCGAATCGCCTTCATGCCTGCGTCAATGGTCTCTCCTACTCTTAGGGTATAACGACGCCACTGGCAGTGTCGTGTTGTGTGCTCTTTCAAAGCAAAACAATCCCACGCCTGGCCTACAGCGTCTCCATCAGGAACAGATGAGAACTCCGAAATGTTTGCTGTCCTCATCGCATTCGATACGTTTTATTCATATTCGCATATGAAAGGCATTCTCGTGGACTGCTATGGAGATGCGGTCCAGCTGATACGTCCAACCTATGCCTATTCGTACGAGCGATAAGCCATTAAAGTTTCAGCGCACGACCTACAGATGGCTCTGCCTGAATGCAGTGGGAGCCTTACTGATTCAAAAACCAGAGACTCTCGTATTTCCCACAGATGCAACGCTCAAAAGCGAATCGCAACAATGCAATGGGAGTTGGAGCTGCACGTCGCACAAGAGAACGTTAAGCTGCACGTATCCTAGAACAGACTTTACTTGAGTGCACGTTCGCCCATCCAGAGCAAAGAGCGTACATTCTAGAGTGAGCATCGCCTCTTGCCGATACAAACGTGGTGGACGATGGCTTCATTAAAGTGGTAGTTTAATGAGATCCAGATTCTACCAATGAACGTAGATGTGGTTGGGTCGGATCCTCGGGACTTCGCCGAAAGTTCGAGACTCGCGTTGACGTCACAATGACGTCAAGAAAGGCGAAAAACATCAAACTCAACAGTTAGAGGAATCAAGAATGGCTGTGAGAAAGGGCAAGGAGGGATATGATAGAAAAAGAAATAAGACCTTGTGGGATGTGCATGATGGCGACGGTGCATCCGGCCACGAAGTCCGGTAGGAGATCCTGTCGGACATTGTACCGTGGGAGCCAGTAGAGGATAGGTAAGAGGGAAAAGAACGCTTCCTTCGTCTTGGCCCAGGAACATTGACAATGGGAGCCGAAAAACGATCTCGCCTGATTGCCCACGGCTGCGAAATCATCAATCGAACCGCATGAAAATATTAACGAAATCGATTCCGTGCGGATTGCGACACAGCATGTGCTCTACATAGAACAGGGTTGTTCCTTAGGCGGGGGGGGGGGGGGGGGGGGGGGGGGGGGGGGGGTTT